GGGTTTGGTTTTACAAAAAAAGAAGGGTAAAAAATCTTTTCAAAAACTTTTTTTTTTTTTTTTTTTTTTTTTGTTTCTTTTTTACTGACCCCACGAAGATCAGCCAGTGCAGCAGTATTGCTTAGTTTAAAAACTTCATTTACAAGTTTACATTTTAAGCACATAATCTGCATAAGGAGAACATAAGAAATATTTTTGGATGATTCAGACTGTTGTCTGGAAAAAAAAGTAAAAAAAAGTTGACTGAAAATACAAAATTCACAACAAATATATGTATTTTAGTTTTAATAATTTTTACTAGAGTCGGGGTAGTTTATAAACCTTCATATGAAGTGTAATTTATTGTCCCAGCTGTTGTCAAGCATGTAATTTCAAACAGATGACAGAATACTGACCTCTTCTGGGCAGAGTGGGTGTCCACACTGACTGAAGTGAGAGCAGACAGAAGGGAAGGACATGAGGTACCGCTTCATGGTCATCTCCTCACTGCTCTGAGTGAACATCTTCTCAAAGACACGAGGATAGAAGCTGGGGGAAAAATAATAGATATCCCCTTTGAATATGGAAGAAAACTCAAAGCAGAAGAATATAGAGCAGAGACTGACCACAATATGGAGAGCTCCGAGGTTTCATAGAGCATTTCTTCCACACTGTCCACCATCCTGGTGTGAAACTGGATCATGTTCATCACTTTAGCCATGTCAGGATAGTCTTTCAGTGGAAGGGGTGCTTTATTTACACTCGTATAAGCCTGAAGTCAAATTACAAGCCATGCTTATTAGAAAAATGTAAGCTTTACTCTCAGTTGTATTTTTTTTTAAATACATGTGAAAAAGCACATAAAAAGGAAACCTGTAGTCTTAGCCAGTCCATTCGCAGTCCTCTGAAATCAAACTCCTCTTTGTTGTCCACTGCGCAGAAAAATACATTCAAATATATGCATCATACAACACACTTTTCTAAAGTAGCTTGTGAATGTTCATGCAATCACTTATCTTATGTCAATTATTTACAATTAACTGTTATTGTTTTAGTAGAAATCAGTTTTCCCTGTTTCATCAAAGGTTTTTTTTTAATAATTATTATTGATCCTGCTTGATTTGTAACAGCAAAAAAGAGTACAACTTCAAAGGGGGATAATGGTTTTAATAGGTATCATTACAAGCAGCAACATTATTGATTTAGATAATATTCCTCTGACTCCTGGTTCAACATACTTCTTAAATTTGAGAGAAAAATCTTGTCAGGTCAAATTAAATTAAATATTAATATAATATGTTTCCCTTTAAAGTAAATTTATTCATCCCAGGTCCAGGATATTGTAAAAGCCGATGGAATGTACTTAAATAAATACTGTGCTACTGTTTTTAATTTTAGGTTTTTGGAAATAATTATATTAACATACGGTATTTTCCGGACTATAGAGCGCACCTCATTATAAGCCACAAAGTTTAAAAAGTTAAAAAAATAAATAAATAAATAAATAAAAACTGGAAACGTACATATATAAGCCGCACCCTGGTATCTCCACCGCTCTGTTTTCCACAATAAATCTTTTCCTTAACAAATCTGCTATTAAGGACGCAGCACTCCGTCTCCAACGCCGAACCATGGATTCGTTCACGCCGAGCTTACGTGCAGCGGCTATCGATCTGTACTATCAGATCGATAGCCTTCAACTTAAAAGCGGCATCATATGAACTTCTTCGTGTGGTTTCCATGATGAGGGGGTTTGAGTTTGAGAGCATTTCTCAGTCGTGCCTGCTGCTAGCATGTGCTTGAAAATCAGCTCTTTCTTCTTTGATTTCCAATTTTGACTTCCAATGATTCACTTCCTGCTAACGTGCCCCCTGGCGGTTGAAGAAAAATCTACAGAAAAGCCGCACCGGCTATAAGCGGCGTAGTTCAGAGCATGGGGAAAAAGTAGAGGCTTAAAGTCCGAAAAATACGGTACATGGTAGATATACAGCTTGTTACATTAGTTAAGTATTTTCCCACTATATAAAGAAAAAATGTTGGTATAAATAGAGAAAGTTCTTCTGTTATTTTCACTTCTTATACCATGTTTTGTGGGTATTACCTTGTTTAATAGAAAGAGCAGAAAGGGTTGAGACAAACGAGCTCATCAGAACCGACTCCTCCTCTGGACAAACGTACATGTTCTGAAATAACAAAACAAAAAAAAAGAGAGAGAGTCATCATTAATGTTGCTGATGTAATTCAACTAGATGACTCATTCAGTATCCTTATCTTTTCCCCAGCTTTGGCCTGGAGATTTATAAAACATGCCTGGACATGGTGTTAACGTTCTGTACCTGTATGGTGTCATTGAGAAGCAAGGCATCAAACTGTGCAAGATATTGAACATGGTAACGCTGGACTACATGGTTGTACTTTTTCATCAGTCCTCTCAACTTCTCCATAAAATACAGCAGCTCAGCCATCTGACTGAAAAGAAGAAGAAAAAAAAACATATTAGACTCAGATCTATTTTGGCATCATTCAGCTTCTTCTTCATCACTTGAGATAATGATAATTATATGCTGTTCTCACCAAGGGTTCATAAAAATCAAATAATTAAAAGAGGTTTACAGATAGTTTAGCTACGCCTCATTTAATCCAGAAATGGCGCCTTTTGTGAGACAAAGCTTCAGTTTATCGATGCCAGATATCTGCACGCTTGTATGACAGCAACAACAGCATGTAATTACAGCAGTCTAGGGTTAACTTCCTGGGCACCTACTTGTCATTGTAGTCATCTACCGTCTTCATCTTTGGCATGTTCTCTGAGTGTCTGACGAGCCACATGACCTCGTCACGGGAAAATGACAAAGCCATCATGACAAATAGGGCCTTTGGGATTTGATTAGTCCAAAGAGCAGAACAAAATGATAATATTAGGAAAGGTCAACTTTTTTTTGTGGATGGAAACTGGATCAGGAAAAGTAAACACTTTAGTCTTCCAGCTTCTCATGCAACTCCCACCTTTGGTCCAAGAAGTCCAGGTTCATCTTCAAGAACTTTGAACAGTTCCTTCAGTGCTACTCTCAGAAAATGCCTCCGCTCTCTGTGCATTGCTCCACTGGTAACATACAGTAAAGCAAATCATTGAGCCTAAATACATGGTACTGAATAGTTTCAAAAACAAACAGGGGAATATTCTTTTACCAGTTGGCCAGAACGTGCTCACGACATTCCTTGATGTCTGCAATGCGCTTGCTGTATCTGATTAAGAAAGAGGAAAGCTGTCAAAAACAGTTTATGGTTTATAGAAGAAAAAAAGATGATGATTAGAAGATGTCACACATCTTAGATTAAATCCTGGCTTAATTTAGCTCTAGCAATACTCTTTATTTTCAATACAATAAAATGTTCAACGCAGAAATAAGACAGTAACTGGGCTGTGATCTGTAAAACATGTTCATCGTCACACTTTTCCTTTGTAGAGAACCTTTTATAATTGCTTGTCAACTTTGATTTTCTTCATTCTCAAAATGTAATCCGTTGATGTTCCGAAGCTGTCAGTGTGGGAGGAATGATTAAAAAAATATGGCCTCTGTGCTTCCCAAGCATTTTAAAAAAGTGTTCATCATATCATGTTACCATTCATTTCTGATCTGATGTAAAACTATTCCTCCAAACATATGAAAAGAATCTAAAAAAAAAAAAAATTATAATAATCCAAAACAATTCAATCAAAGCAAAAATAATTTCTGTAAAGTTTTCAAATGATAGTCAGATGGGGATCTCTTGGGATGGCACACCAAAATGACAGTATTTGCAAAAGTTTTATGAAAATGTTTGCCATGTGTAAAGGTCTGGAGTGATGAATGGTTGTTGTGATTGAAATCAAATCTTTGTGGATAATGCATGTTGTTAACATATGTTCTGTTTCTTTTAGACTTTTATTTTCCAGAGATGTCTGAAACAAACTAAAGTAAACAATTGAATAACTATTGTGACTTTGTAAAGTTAATTTATTGTTCTCCCACTCTAGATTTAATTATATTTAAAAAAAGAAAAAAAAACTGCATGAAGCCGTGTGCCCTCTTGGTGGCGCCAGTGATCAAAGCAAAAATTAAGAAGCACAATTGAAATTGAAGATTCTGAACACATTCTATCTATGGGTTGATATTAAGAGAATCAAGATCATCAGTGAAGACTGTGTACCCTTTTATGCCATCAAAGAGGTCCTCAGAGACTTTGTGTATGTTGAGGACTTCTTCTCTGGTGAGGTTAAGGAAGAGGCCGCTCCGCAGAGCCATTTTCCAAAGCTCCAGGGAGGCCTGGTTTGTGTTCAGACTGCTGTGGCACAACAGGAAACCAACTAAAGAAGAAACATCAGGAATGGTGATCAAATATTTTTGACAATATTATTTTTCTACAAGTCACTTCATAGTCTCAATTCTTTATATAAGCTTAACCAAAGCTAAATCCAAATTTGTCAACATCTATTGTGATAGAAGATAAATAATAGAAAGCTGAAATTATTTTTGAATGCTTTAAAAAATAAAATTTTACCTGATGATGTCTAAATAGATAATGAACTATCTCAGGAAAACCTGTTTAAATGAACATGTTTTTGCTGTATCCAGCTGACTTTAAAACAAAATGGAGCTGTAAGTCGGGCCCAAACTTCTTGAAGTTATTTATCTCAATTTGTAATTTGATTTTGCATCAAGTCTATGTTATGTTATTTTTTAACAATTCAGACAAAGGCTTCATTCAGAATAAGAATGACTTACTAATGATCCAGCGCTCCATTATTTCCATAGACAGGTATTCACATGCCATCTGTGGGGATGACAGTTCATTAGACACCGACACACATTAACATTCTTTATCTGAGAGAAATGAATAGAAATTAAGCTGCCATACAATCTGTCAAACGAATTCAGGGCACCCCACTGAAAAAAAGTCTGTTCTTCATTAAGAAATGTTTAGATCTTGATGTCTAATCATATGCCTTCTGTCTTTGGGGAAAAAAATTACATGATTGCATTTACGCAAACAATTAACCTTCTCTTATTTATTAAACAAGACATATGTTTCTTAACCAAAAAAAAGTTAGGACACCCTATCCCATAACAGCTATTGTTACCCCCTTTGGCTAAAATAACTGCAGTGAAATGGTTTTCGCAGCCATCTACCGCTATGATGTTGGTCTGTGGGAAGTTTTCCCACTCCCCTCTTTCAGCTGTGAGATGTTGGAGGAGTTTCTGGTATGTCCATGTTTTAATATCCCACAACACATCAATGACGTCAAGGTCTGAGCTTTGACTTGGGCTAAGATTTCCATTTCCTAGTTTTCAACCTTTGAATGTCTTTGTCAACTCTTTCTATTTTTTTATCTACTCCAAAATTTATATATTTTCTTTAAACATCCAACTATATTCCCTTTTTGCAAACCGTTAGCTCATTAGCTATTACGGTTCCTCCTGTGATTTCCTACGACAGTCCTGTTTTCTCTGTTGGCTTTTTATTCCTTGATTTGTGTTTGTGCTCCATGGACTCCCTGTAATTTCTGTATTTATTTATTTATTTATGTTTTGCTTTTTCTCTTTTAATTCAATTGAAATCAACACAATGTCTCAGCCAGCTGCATTTAATGCTCATCACCATCATTCGCCATGACACGTTTCATTGGAACTATTTGATGTTGGCTTTAATGTAAGAGACCTGATTTACTCCTGCATAATTGTATTACTTTTTGCAGAACACTTTCAAAAGTTTGTTCTCTAGTTTACATTGCTTACATTTTTCACTGCTTTTAAATTCTGCTAAATAATTGTGTATATTTGAAAATGCCACTTAAGCACAATTGTATAATTCCATTTTTTTTTTTTTTTTTTTTTTTTTTCAAAATAAAAATTTTTGGGAAAACAAGGATTTTTTATTTTAACCTTTTT